TGAGTCGGGCCTGGCATCCCGCTGAGTGAGCTGAGCTCCCTTCCATTGTGCTGGAGGCTTGGATTGTGGCAGAGATGACTCAGTGTCAGCTTCTGACGTCTGTCCAAGGCTTCGGCTCTTCCTTAGCCTTTGTTCCAGAACACTGAAGTGACAATGCAAATGTTTCTGCTGCCCGAAGGAAAACAGTATTAGGCCTGGCTTTTCACTGGGGTGCTGGTGGTCTGCCTTTCATGTAAGGTAATAATAGCCAAATCATTTTGAGAACTGAGAGAGGCTAGCAGTCATTTTTAAAAAACAGCATCTTTTCTGCCAAAACAGTAATTCATGTTCATTATTTTTAAAAATTGGAAAATACAACAGTATAATGTAAAGAATGACTCCTCATAACCCCACAGTACAAAGATAACTATTGTGGACACTTCAGAGCTTGTTTTCCTTTCGGTTTTTACACATAGGTAGGTTTTTAAATGAATTGGAATAATAACAATAGCAAACCTTTATTGAAACCACTCTCTGTTCCAGGAAATCTTTAAGTACTTGGCATGCATTATCTTCCTTATTCCCCACAACGACTCTGGCGAATCATTATCTCCATGTTACAGGAGAGGAAACTGAGGTACAGAGGGGCTAAGTCATTTTTCCAAGGTCACACAGCTCATAAGAGTAGTGCCAGGATGGAAACCAGAGGAGCCTGTCTCCAGAGCCCAGGGCCTTCCCAGGGTCTTAACTAGTCCATGATATGGTGTTTCCCCAAAAATAAGACTTAGCCAGAGAATAAGGTGTAGCATGATTCCTCCAGGATAATGGAGGGTACGCACCACTCACATGAGGGGTTTATGACCTGTTTCAGGGAGAAGGGTGCCTTTTCCACAAACTCCTTCAGCCTAAAATATTCAATATGCCAAGGTGCCATATTTTGGCTCCTAAAATCATGCGAGGGCTTATTTTCTGGCTAGGTCTTGTTTTGGGGGAAACAGGGTACTATTTCACAGTACAGGCACATTTCATGGAACTGGATTACATTTCATGGAATTTTGCAGTGTTAGCTCTGCGTTCTCAGGTTCTCTCTCCTTCGTCCATAGATTAGGAAACCTAAATCCACAGATGGTATTTAGTTTACCTACGAACAGTGTCGCTGGTAAATGTCTGTGCCGTCAGGACACGCTCTCCTGATCCCCACAGGCCACATGCATGCTGACTCGGTCGTGAACCTTTGTCCTTCTCCTGTGTCCCAGCCCTGAAACAGCTGCACTCACTGTACAGTTGACCTCGGTGCCGAGACCAGATTAAAGGGAGGACGGGGAGCTCTCACAGCTTTGTTCCCAGCATGTACTGAGATTTCAGTGTGTGTCCAGGGAGTGTATGAGCACCTAGTGATGATGTGTTAGCTGGCTCGTAATTGCCCTCAGAGCTAGGGCTCTAAACGGCTGAAAGGTGTGGTCCAGCAGAGGTCCAACTTTTCACCTTCATCAAACATTTCCGACAGATTTGCTGACAAGCAGTAAGAGTGATTGATTTGAGCTTTTAATGCTGTAGCTTTCTCCGACCTGGACTTCCGGGACCTGGGCTCTCGAAGACATGCCAACCGTTGTTACCACTCTAAGCGAGCCAGAAATCAGCCAGGCCCGTGCGTAAACCCATTCCTGTGTATGTGAGGCTGGCTGTCGTGGCCCTGCAGCCCAAGAGAATGGGGCCATTGCGTTGGGTGGCCAGCTGCCGTGGGGTTGAGAATTAAAGGAGGAAGAATTGGTGATGACTTAACTGCTGCAGGTGGTAAGGTAAGAGATAAAAACCTCTGTGTTTTCAAATGTGGCGGTGGACTTCTCAATCCGGAATACCAAGCAGTTGTTTGGGTTTTGGGTTTTGTTTTTTTTAATCACTTAATCTGATTTTATGTAAGCTCCCGGAGGGCAAGAGCACGTTCTTACAAATCTCACAAACAATGTGGAGAGAATAAAGATGAGAAGAGCACATGATCTAGCAGTCAAAACTGACGTGTTGTTAGAAGTCAGGTGTGTGGTTACCCCTGGAGGTGGGGGTGATGCAGCTGTGACTGAAGCGAGCACGAGGGGGATTTCTCTTCCGTTTTTTAACTGGGTCCTGGTTACACAATGGGTTCAGTTTGTGAAAATTCATCAGGTTTTATACTTTCTAAATGTGCTCTTTTCTGAGTATAAATTATATTTTAATTAAAGTTTAAAAGTCCTTATTTGTGTTTGTGTATGTTGTTGTACATTGCTACTCAGAATATCTCCACTTAGTTGAATCAGTTTGAAATGATGTAGAATTTATTACCTGGGTATTGGGAAAACATCTCTACCTGGAATTGTCAGCTCTGTGTGGGCAGAACTTCCAAGGTCATTTTTTGATTCTATTAAGATGTATCTTAAACAACTTCAGTGTTTAAGGAGGCAATGGCCCCATTTTCTCAGGGCCACGACAGACAGCCACGTACACACAGGAATGTTTATGCAGGGGCCTGGCTGACTTCTGGCTCACCTAGAGTGGTAACAATGCTTGGCATGTCCTCGAGAGCCCGGGTCCGGGGAGTCCAGGTCAGAAAGCTACAGCAGTCAAAGCTCAAATCAATCACTCTTACTGCTCGTCAGCAAATCTGTCGGAAATGTTTGATGGAGGTGAAAGGTTGGACCTCTGCTGGGCCACACCTTTCAGCCGTGTAGAGCCCTAATCACTGTCACATGCAGGCTGTCCTGAATGATGAAGGATGATGTCATTTTAGTTCAGCAGTCATTTATTGACAGCCTCCTGTGAACAAGGGACAGTGCCAGCACAAGCTTGGTATGGGTATGACACCAGCTCTCCCCTGAAGGAGCCTGCACTTTGGGGTACGCCCATGCATGAGTGAAAAACGAGGAGCAGAGCAGTGCCACTAGAGCACCATGGAGGGTCACAGAAAGGAAGGGAGCTTCCCCCCGGACGAGGCAAACCTTCATGGAAGAAGTGACATTTGAAGTGGATCTCAAAGCTTATGTAGATTGATTAGCAGAGGTGGATGGGTGGCAGGCATTATGGATATTAGACATATGAGGCAATCTATAGAGAACGCACGTACATTCTGGGAATGTTGGGTTGTAAGGCTCATTTAGGATGGCTTGGGTACAAGGTAAGGCTTGAAAGGTAAGGTAGGGCCTTAGCAGTGGCCAGGTTGTACTATTTCACTGAGAGGCGTTAGGGAGCCAAAGAAAGTTGCTAAGAAGTAAAGGAGCATGATTAGATGAGAGCATAATCCTGAAGATGATTATCATATATATACCTTCTTTAGTCCCTACACCCATCCTTCCCTTTGGACCAGGTGAAATCACAATTCCTTTATCCCTTTTTCATATACAGTAAAACCTTGGATTGCGAGTAACTTGGCTTGCAAGTGTTCTGCAAGATGAGCAAACATTTCTAATACATTTTAACATGGTAAACGAGCAGTGTCTTGCAGTACGAATAGTTTGTTTTCGGAACCAATTATGTTCGCAAACCAAGGTATTACTGTATACTGTTTTCTAGTCTTATAGTGATTTGGCATTTATTTCTTTCCAGCCTTTCTTATGTGACGCTCTTCTGCCAGACAAAACAGCCAGTGTCTCTTATTCATGGCAGAATTCTGTGTGAGAAGAGAGGGGCCAAGAAATAATCTTAACAAACTTTTACAAGTTGTGAAGGACGCTTGACCCACTAACCTGAGATAGTGTTCCACTGTCAGTGGGCTCCCATCTCTGGGAAGAAGCACTGGGTAGTACGTTTTATATGGAAGAATTGGAAATGGTCCACATTCAAGTCTGGGTCACTTAGGCAGTATGAGGTCTGTTAAGTTATTACCTTATTAATTTTTTTCTATATCAGCTACTATTCCCTAAAAAAAAGGTAACTTGTGCTGAATATTGTCTCGTCTCCCATATGAATTCTGTTGAGACTCTGTATCAAGTCATTATTCTAATCAAAGGGTTGTTAACTTGACAAATAAGATGCTTCAGTTTAGCTTTTAGGAATCTTGTTTAGAGACTGTATTCAGACTCTACAAAGACCTGTTTTGAATTCTCAGGGGACACTAGTAGTAGAGTGTCCTGATTGGAAAGAGGACCTGAGTTAGTGTGATTTGAGTCAAATCCTGACTCCTTTCAGTCTCAGTTTCTACTTGCTATATGGATTTAACACATTCTTTTTCTGGTGTGGTAATGCAAGGTCAAACAAGACAGACCCATGAACATCCACGGTGCCTGGCACCCAGGCTGCACTTGCTGTCCCTTTTAGAGCACAAATTGATGCCAATGTGACTCTTCACCCCTCTCCCCCGTCAAGATGCTCAATGATACTTTGCAACTCTTTTCCCCAGGTGGCCCTTGTGAGAAAGCTATTTCACATGGTCTTACTATTATTACTGTTTGTTTTTTTAATCACTTTGGTTGTGGTTTGCGGTTGTTTCCACATCTAAATACCATTGTGTTACTCAATTATTAAAATCAATCTTGTACCATATTATTCCATCACATCTGTTTAATAATTTCATTAAGAAAATCATTTCCTATGTTGATGAATGTACCTGCTGGAACTTTCTCCCTTTTCTTTTTTTTTTCATTCTCCTTCTGTTAAATGATTGGAGTTCTGAATTGGATGCATCTCCCACAACGGTGCAGTTCACTGTGAGTGGGGCCTGGCAGGCATCCCAGTTACCTGGGCACTTTGGGAAACCAGGACTGACTGGTAACCTCATTCTATTATGTGTTTCTACAATGGCAACCAACAGTTACCATCTAATCGGGCAGAAAATTGGATACCCTGGGAGACCTGAATCTCAGAGTTAGTGTACATGGATGCACAAAAGACTTGACTGTCCAGTATTCAACTTAAGGGGATAGTAGGGAGTTGCGGTTTTTTTTTTTTAATCTAGGACTTAAAGCATGTCTGCTGTGTGTACACAGATGCTATCATTGGCAACTGTCTCCTTGACATCAAATCTTAAAGTGCCTGCTGTCCTCTGTCTCTTTCAGGTAGAACGTCATGACATGACTACCCTAAGCTTGCCCCTAAACATACGCCGAGGTGGGTCAGACACCAACCTCAACTTCGACGTACCAGATGGCATCCTGGACTTCCACAAGGTCAAACTCAGTGCGGACAGCCTGAAACAAAAAATTCTAAAGGTAACAGAGCAGATAAAAATCGAGCAAACCTCCCGCGATGGGAATGTTGCAGAATATCTGAAACTTGTCAACAGTGCAGACAAGCAGCAGGCTGGCCGTATCAAACAGGTCTTTGAGAAGAAGAATCAGAAATCTGCTCACTCCATTGCCCAGCTGCAGAAGAAGTTAGAGCAGTATCACCGAAAGCTCAGGGAGATCGAGCAGAACGGAGCCTCGAGAAGCTCCAAGGACATTTCTAAGGACATCCCACACTCTCTGAAAGATGCCCACGCCAAGTCTCGAACTGCTCCCCACAACATGGAGAGCAGTAGATCGGGCATGCCAGGGGTCTCCCTCACTCCACCTGTGTTTGTCTTCAATAAGTCCAGAGAGTTTGCCAACTTGATCCGGAATAAGTTTGGCAGCGCAGACAACATCGCTCACTTAAAAAATTCCTTAGAGGAGTTTAGGCCCGAGGCGAGTGCCAGGGTCTACGGGGGCAGCGCGACCATTGTGAACAAATCCAAGTACGGCAGCGACGATGAGTGTTCGAGTGGCACGTCAGGCTCTGCCGACAGTAATGGAAACCAGTCCTTCGGGGCCGGGGGACCTGGCACGCTGGACAGCCAGGGGAAGCTCACCATGATCCTGGAAGAGCTCCGCGAGATCAAGGGTACCCAGACACAGCTGGCTGAGGACATCGAGGCTCTGAAGGTGCAGTTTAAGAGAGAATACGGCTTTATTTCTCAAACCCTGCAAGAGGAGAGATACAGGTATTTCAGAACCTTCTCTTAAAATTATTTCAGAAGCATGAGCTACTCCCTGCAGAGAACTTGAATGTAATATGCTGATGGTTGTGTTTTTCATAAAGAGGAATATGGGTCAGAAGGCATTTAGGATGCAATACTTCTTCCCATACTTCATAATTCTAATTTTTATAATTTGAGACTTATAGCTTGACAGAGGAGAGAAAGATGTTATATGTGTGGCTCTGGTAAAGTATCACTCTATCTTCTGTGACTCATGTGCATATTAAGCTCCTGATGCAGGGGCTTGCCTTGGAAGGTTTCAGTAACTAGTTCATAGATCTGTATTTGATTTTCCTCCATAATAGCCATCAAGTGACAAACTAATTCATTGTCCAGCAAGGCAGATTTTATTTGGTACATCAGTCTTCAAGTCTTTCTATAGCGTATTTTTTTTTTATGTACTGTATTTTGCTCATTAAACTTTTCACCCTAAATGAAGAGTATTCAAAAGAAGTTTTAAGACTAAAGTATAAATTCAAACTTGTGGATTATATTAGCTAATTTTAAAGTCAGGTTTTTTGTAGGCTGACGTTTATGTAATTGCAGCTTACTAATAAAAAGTGTATGTGCCCAGATATGAGCGGATTTCCCACCATTTTCCCAATGAAAATATACTCCAAAGGTATTGTCAAAATGAATATGCTACTTATAACAATGTGGATAAAAAAGTAAATACCTGTCATATATTGTACGGTTTAAATTTTAAATGTAGCTTTCATGTTGCTTTATATCTGATACATGGTTTTGCATATGTATTCTTTAGGAATGTGGCTTTTTTCTGCTCATATGAAACATTTTTTTTAACTTTCTGTATACATCTGTGACTGTGGTTTGTTTGTCACTCAAGAACTATTTTCAAGTCGCAACTTCGGCTGGAATCCAGCCAAACAGTTTGGGAAACGGTACTCTGTGGATCCAAATTTTACCCTAACTCACAAATATCTGTTTACTTAAATTTAGGAAAGTTTTTGTTCTCATTTATCATATAGTTCCATATTCGTGATCTCCTTAGCCATTGACTGTATTGCTTACTTTAAGAGATCTTCAAAGGCTTGTTTATAACACCAACATTGGGTACCTATGAAATTGTACCTATTGTCACTGCAGTCAGCCAAGGCACTGGTCTGACATGGGTGGAAAAGCCAGGTTTGCTTTGCACGAAACCTCAGCGGTGAAGACAGAGTCAGGACTGCAGAGACCGGTTTTTCTCTGGAGCTGGAATTCAGTAGTACTCAGAAGTGTGTCCCCTACAGCTAGACTTTTCTTTTGGAAACACAGTATGCCAGGAGATAAAAACAAGCCAAGGGGCACTGGCGGCAGTGAGCTATAAAGGACATCATTCTAGAATGTGCTGGGGAACACCTTTGAAATGTCATGCTCAGCATCGGCTCCTCTCGTTACAAAGGTATGAGCGACTAGAAGACCAGCTCCATGACCTGACAGACCTGCACCAGCATGAGACGTCCAACCTGAAGCAGGAGCTGGCCAGCATCGAGGAGAAGGTGGCCTACCAGGCCTGCGAGCGCTCGCGGGACATCCAGGTGCCTGTCCTCTCCTCATTAGATACTCACACGGGCTCTTCCCAGTCTTTAATGCATTTAGCAAACTAAGTGCATTACTCCTAAGCCCTGAAGACTTTCTGGCCATGGAGCCAACGTTTCCTGTCTACCTTGTTAAACCCCATTAGCTCATGTTACGGTCATTACTGAGTGCAGAGTTTACTTCCTGCCTAAATTAGTTAACAAGTATTTATTATCTACCCCCAAGCTCATCACCTATACCCTACTCTCCCCACCACAGCCAAAATTTTTAAAAATTCTTAAATGTTAAGACGCCCCTGCCTTTATAATTGGAAGTTTATACCTTTTGACCACCTTCACCCATTTTGCCCACACCCCGTACCTCTGGGAGCCACCAGTCTGTTCCCTGTTTCTGTGAGTTCAGTTTGTTTAGATTCCACGTATAAGTGAGATCACACAATATTTGTTGTTCTCTCTCTGACTTATTTCACCGAACAAAATGCCCTTAAGGTCCATCATGTTGCAAATGACATGAGAAGGAAGGATTTCTTTCTTTCTCGTGGCTGCATAGTATTCAATTGTGGATATATACCGCATTTTCCTTATTTCTTCATTCTTCAGTAGACACTTAGGTTGTTTCCATGTCTTGGCTGTCGGAAATAGTGCTGCAGTGAGCATGGGGGTGCAGCTGTCTCTTCTAGACACTGATTTCATTTTTGGGGGGTATATCCCTAGAAGTGGGATTGCTAAATCATAAGGTAGTTCTGTTTTTAATTTTTGAGAAAGCGCCATATTGTTTTTCCATAGTGGCTGCACCAATTTACATTTCCACTGATTTTACATTTTACATTTCCTTTTAAAAAAAAAACCCAAAAATGTGTGCCCTTTAAAGAACGCTCAGCTTCACTTTTACAAATTCTTTGTAGCCAGCGATTATTCTCTCCAGCCCCACTTCATAGGAAGGACTCTGAAACAGAGAGAGAGATTTCTCCCACAGCGTGTGAGCCGGAGTCTCAGCTGCTTGTGTTTCGTTTCACTCTGGTCAAGGGCTGAGCCTGTGCTAACCCCAGCTGTGAACTCGGGCAATTCTGGGAGCCAAAACATCAGACAGAGCTGGTAGTCAGTGCTTGTCTTCAGAGGACACTTGAGGATGCAGATCTGCCCCGGCTCTGGGTTAGGAGACAGCTTCACCACTGGCTGGCTTAAAAAATTTGAATCCATTTAAATGTTAAGTGTTGCCAGGTGAACTACGCAGTCAGCTTTATTAGATCATTTTGTTTTAGAACATATCTGGGATGCCACTGGATTATGTCTAAATACGTGGTTTTCTTATTTAGGGCATAGTTTGGGTTAATGTTGTTCTTCCTTTTTTAAAGAAATACATTTGAGGGATGAACGGGTAAGATAAAAAGAGGGACTTCCTATAGGGAGCCTAAAAATTCAGAAGAGTACATGTCACTATTTTTTGGTTTCATCTCTAGTTCAGAAGTGCAGAGAGGACATCTGTGTGAGTGACTGGAGGGTCTTTCTTGTTACGACAATTAGAATCCTGGCTGTACTGCTTAACTGTGTGACCCTGGACAAGTCAGCTCTCTGTGCTTCAGTTTCCTCATCTATAAAATGGAAATATTAGTGAACTCCACCTCCAACAGTTGTTGAGAGGATTAAATGGGATAATAATGTAAAGTACTTAAACCTTTGCCTGATACATAATAAGCAGTCAAAAAATAAATGCTGGCCATTTTTTTATTATATTGGTTTGTAGCCTTATTTCTCAGGGCTTTTAGCAATAGGGCCTGCTTAACTTTATCCTTATTTCTTGTTTCTTTGTTCTCATAGGCAATATTATACAAGGGGATGGACTAGTGTAGATGAGGGTGGCTATTCCTATGGGGATTCAGGGCTTGTTGTTTTAAGCAAACGAGTTTGGGGTTTTTTTTAAACCCTGAATTCCCAATTAAAAGAATTTAAAGATAGCCTGTCCTCTGTCTTTATCCCCAGTAAGTTAAGGAAGTACTAAGAACCCAAGGAAGTACTAAAGATTGTGGGGCTGAAGTATCACCTGGTGGCTGCTGTGACTTAAATGCCTTCCAATCCATTGCATAACCTTCTTGGATTTTTCTTTTGGTAAAAGAAATTTGACAGCATTTCTAAGGAAGATCTAGGGTCAGTTTATTTATGCAGTAAAACCTTGGATTGCGAGTAACATGGTTTGTGAGATAAGCAAACATTTCTAATACATTTTAACATGGTAAATGAGCGATGTCTTGCAATACGAGTAGTTTGTTTCTAGAACAAATTATGCTTGCAAACCAAGGTATTACTGTATATGTAATTCATCTACCCAAACAAAGATTAGTGAATTTGCCTAAAATGTTGATCTTTTGTCTTGTTCTATCACCTCCAGGCCATGTCAAAAATGAAGGAAATCTTGGGCCCAAGTGTTTGAAAAGAATGAATGATTTTGGGGGCACTTGCCTGTCATTGTAGAAAGCCAGCACTTTTATTATAGAATGTGAAGACATGAAGAAGCTTTGCCTTTTTTTTGGTACCCTGTATAATGAACATTACTATAGTAACAGCGAGCCCTGTTCTTCATCCCATAGAGTATTTTCAGCAGAAGAAAAGCAAATCACATTGGAGCCATTTAAAACCTGAAAAGATGACTTTTTTTTTTTTTTTAGCTGAGCCATCCTGTCACCTGTTGGCAGCTCAGCTCAGGCCGGGACTCGAACTGCTGTTGCCCACAGCTTGCACCCTTGAGCGAGCTCTTAATCAACTGAGCCACTCGGCGACCCCAGGATGACTGTATTTTAATTGAGCAAACACATACTGGTGAATGAGTTAGACAATGAGCTAGTGAACTAAAGGGGGCTCATTGTATTGCCTCTTCTTAGGTCCTTTTCTTCCAATAATCGAAAGGTTTGTCTCTCTCGGGCCTCACACCCCAGAACCCTGTCTCATGAGTATTCAGCCTATATGTAGCACCTGCTGCAGGCCTGGCACTGGCTCTGTGCTGAGGATGGCAGCAAAATGGGCCCCATCTTCACCTTCATGCGGCTGTGTTCTCTTGATTGGGAAAGAGGGCTAGAGGGAGACTTGGTGTAGTCTGAAGGGTCCAGGAAGGCTTCCCTCAGAATGTGACAATCCACGAGACCTGAAGGATGGATGGGAGATTGCAGGTGAAGAGGGGAGGTAGTGGGGAGGCCAACATTTTAGACGCAGTGCCCTTCACGTGCAAAGGCCCCCAACATGCTCCTTTCCAGAACCTTAGAAAGCCAGTACGGCCAGAACGCAGTGAGGTGGGCAGGGGTTGGCATTAGGTGACGCAGCACAGAGTGGCTGGGCCGGAGCCACATTAAAGATTTAAAAGGTTTTACAAAGAGGAGTGACATCAGATATGCATCTTTCAAAGATCACTTGGGCTGCTGTGTGGAAAGTGGAATCATGGGGTTGAAGATCAAGAGGGTGTGTGAAGAAATCAGTGTAAAGTTACTGTGAGCAAGAGATCCGGGACTTAGATTGGGGTGGAGACGGAGGGGAGATAACGGACCGACAGAGAGATACTGGACGTTGCATCGTTGGGGCTGGGTGATGGCGTTGACGAGAGGCATGGCAAGGAATGCCTCCCAGGCTTTTCGTGTGAGGAACTAGGGGGATCCGCTGCTGTTTTCTGAGAAAAGGAACACGGGAAGGGGAAAGGGGTTCATGGCAGGTGCGGGAGAAGATGCAGTACCTGAGGCCACATGTGGACATGTTGCCTTTGAGGTGCTTTTAAGAAGCTAAAATGGAGGCATGTAGATACTGAGTCAATCTCAGAAGACACAGCTGGGCTAGAGATACACTTGGGAGTCATCTGTGTCTTAATCATTGAAGCCTTGGAAAGAACCAGTTCTGGGAGATGACGTAGCCTCGGATCGCGTCCTGAGTGACACGGCATTCAAAGCGCAGGTGGAAGCAGTTGTCCCACAGTCAGTCCTGTACCCACCCTGTCCCTCCATGCTCCACCACTCTATAAATGGATGCACACAGACTCTGAACAGTGAAATAAGGACTAGCGATTGGAGATGTCCCTTACTCCATGGCTGGAGGAGACCACTGTCCCAAAATGGAGCCCCACCCCTCCTGGTTTGTCCCTCATGGTACCAATAGATGCCAATAATTTTTGCACTTTATTTCTTATGTAGGTGGAGTCAGCACACTTAAGCATAATTCCCCCATTTATTGCATTTTATGGTTGTGCACACACATGTTCTGAATCACAGGATAAAATGAGCCTTGGGATTCTCGCTTAACTTCTTTGTCCCTCATTGTCGTCATTATCATGGTCAGAAGGGCTGTGAAGCCATGTCGGCATCAGGCGTGCTCGATGGGGGTTGCCATGCGCAGGCCGGCAGGCGCTCGCATGTTGTCCTTGGCCTCACAGCGTTTGACCCTCACTCTCCCTTTTTCCCACAGGAAGCCCTGGAATCCTGTCAGACGCGCATTGTGAAGCTGGAGCTCCACCAGCAAGAGCAGCAAGCCCTGCAGACGGACACAGTGAATGCAAAGGTCCTCCTGGGCAAGTGCATCAACGTGGTCCTGGCCTTCATGACGGTCATCTTGGTGTGCGTGTCCACCATCGCCAAGTTCATCTCGCCCATGATGAAGAGCCGCTTCCACATCCTTGGCACCTTCTGTGCTGTGACTCTCTTTGCCATATTTTGTAAAAACTGGGACCATATTCTGTGTGCCATAGAAAAAATAATAATACCCAGATGAAGCCACTGGTCCCTGTCTTCAGGTTCTTTCAAGTTTTTATTTTTTTTAAAAACTGTGCATACTACCAAATTTGAAAATGAACAGCTGTGCCAGCTGAAGATGGCACGAAGGACTGGGACTGTGTGTTGTAAATAACTACACTTCTCTTAACTCGGTAGCAGATGCCAGCCCAGTCCTTGGACCTGGTTAACGTGAATCTGTCTCTAAGCTCCCCCCATGTTGCTCACTGCCTTAATCGGACCAGATTTCCTGCCCACCTGACTCGGTAGACCTCTGGTTATTGAGCCTTTGGCGTACTTAATTAGTGACCAAGAAGAAAAGGGGATTTAAACCTCTTTCTCAAGTTATCAAAATGAAGCTCACATTGTTAGTAGTCGCGTTTTCCCCGAGGCCTGTAAGCACCAAGGACGTGGCTCGAGTCAGGGAGGGGATGGAGCCCGGGCGTGGGCCGTGCTGAGCACGCGTGGCTGTGGAAGCAGTAAATCCCGTGTAATCCAGCCTGCTGCTCCACCAGGGACCTAGGTCCCTATGTGCCCGGCGTCCACAGTGGTCAGTTGTGTGTGACTCCGTCACATGAAAATCTTATTACACACCTGTTTTTCCACCCAAAGTCTAACTTAGTTGTTCTGTTGCACTTTAAACGGTGAGACACGAGGATGTGTGAAGGTCTTATGCCTTCTATTACCTTGGAGCCGGATACCTGATTTCATCTTACCTGGTGATTGGAGGCACAGCCTTCGAAGCACGTAGAAATGCTTCCGAATCCCTCATCAGACTGTGGCTTTCACATTAATTTGGGGTCCTGTAAGCACGACACCAGACAGAGGTTTGTGTTTCAGCACACCTTAATTGTGATTCACTTTATCCCCAGGTCTGTGAGGGATTGCGAAGCTTCCTCAGTAAATGAAAACACATGATGCTCATGATGCAGGGTTGTTTTTTTTCTTTTTTTCTTTAAGAAAGACAACAGAATCATAATTTATAAAGCTAAAGCACACTAAGGTAGGAACACTGGACGCAGGAGGAAACTATGACGTGTGATTTAATCGGATGGCTGCTGGGTCAGTGGGAGCAGTACACCGGGATGAAGACTGCGAGGACCCTCTTAGGACCCTGAAAGACCAGCCAGAGTAAAATAAATTCAAAAGTTAACATCTTTGGCCTATTTGGGGGATGCCATTCACTGTCTTCAGCCCAGATGACACTTTCCTTTAAATCTGTTCCTCTGTGTACATAAAAGGAAGACACAGAAGAATTTAATTGGAACTGCTGTCCAGCCCCTCCACCCACCACCCACTCCATTATCTGAAGGCAAAAATATGCATGTTAGTGTATATTTTCTTCCAAAAAACATCATATCAGGATATAAATTAAGTGCAATATTTTGCAAACAGCTGCTCTTCAGGAAGTCCCCTGAAACAATGTGATGGTGTGACATGGTTTGCAGGATTGGAGTTGTCCAGCTTCTGGTACAAGTGCAGTGCGTGTGTGAGACTCATGCAACTCAAGCTTTGTTAAAGTTTATAATTCAGTGATTTTAATCAATTCACAAACTTGTATAACTATCACCATTATCTAATTCCAGACTCGAGCTTTTTAAAATAATAAACATGATTTCATGAAATCATTGGCTATAAAGTGTTTTGGGTTCAGAGGAGAGGGAGTTACTCGTCCCACCCACATTTCATGGCTGTGTCCCTTTTCCCTGTCAAGACTCTCCCTTGGTCTCCCAGGTTGGATGTAACGTCACTGTGGTCCCATCAAATCCAGGGGACAAAAGCAGGTTCCAGATCCAGGGAAGGGAGGGAGGAAGAAGGGTGTGCTTCCTTTGCGTTTGCGTTTTAATGGCCAGCATTCCTGTATCTGTGGGCATCAGTCTCCAGTGGGCTGACAGCTGGGTGTAACTTACACCCTTGCATCAAGCTGGGTCCTGGGTGGGCTCCTTTTGATTTCTGTGAATCTTTCTGAGGCACTTTGGACATGCCAGGGTTTGGGGTGGGTATAGATACTGCTGTTAGTTTAAAGAGAATGGGTGAGCTCTCCAGCCCTTGAGGAAAGGGCCCTGGGCAGATCTCAGAAGACGTGGGCCTCCTCCTCCATCTGTGGGTCAGCCTAGCACCTCGGCTTTGACGCTTCCCAGACCTGCAGTCAGTGGTCTCCTCTCCAGTTCGAGAAGTGAAGGCAGCGTGCTCAGGAGCGGTTAACAGAAGCTGCTGAAAACTGGCTGTGTCCTGAAATACTGTCGGGTCTACATCATCACACCTGATCATGAATTATTTTTACAGAATTCATACTTTCAGTGATTCTCATTAGACATCAGATAACCTTGCTTTCACTTGGATATGCTCAACCTACACAGCATATTAGAGTCTTGTTGAAACTTGACAAAGATTTTTAATATGATGGTATGCTCCAAGGAGACTTTTACTCTCAGTAGTTTATTATTTACTCTTCTGCTTGTTTTTTGCACTGCATAAGGTGATTAAATAAAATTTTATAAATATACAACTAAAAAGAGTGATCTAGCTATGACATATCCTGGAACTGGATATTTAATTAAGTCAACGAACCCCTTTCCCCCACCTAGCATTGGTAGTAACCATCTTGTGCATACATCCTAAAGATGAAAAACAGCTGCTCATTCGGTGAACCTAGTGATTGTAGATGCCAGGCATTGCATCCTGGCACTGGAGTTTTTGGTGACATGTTATTTTCATGATCACCAGGATGATAGTTTGCTGAGGACAAAAGAAAAACCAAAAAATACTCCCTTGTGGGTTTTGAATTGGTTATTTGCAGCTTATATTTTTGAGTATGATTACGCCAAAACAAAACACCCTTCTCTCCCCCTACAAAAATAAATTCAAACCCGCAATGAAGCAGTAAATAAAAGTGCCCTCTTGCTGATTTTGAGCAATGAAAGTAGGGTTAATCCAAAGTTTCTAGCATGTACCATTACTGGTTTTACTTATATGATCGCTATGATCTCTTGAACCCTGAAACCCCTCCTTTTTGCATTTCAGCCCATGTTGCTATTATCCCTCTCAATTAAATTTGATCTGATTTTAGCCCTTCTTGTTTTCATTGAAATACTGCCCCGCTGTGTACGTTCATTGCCCCACCATTCATATCAGGAACTAGCTTCCCTTGGGCAACTAATTATTTTGTCTTTTTTGTTTGGATTTTAAATACCAAATTATTTTGCATTGAATGGGAAACTTTTTTTGTATTGAATCCAAATATTGTATTGGTTTGGAAAAAAATCTAAATATACTTATTAATGTGAACGTGTGTGATTAAATAATTTTACGTATTTCCATAATTTTGAGGAACCAGTGGTAGGACAAAATGGCATTATTTAAAATTCAGGGCTTTATCTGGAGAGAGGCATTTCAAGAAGTTTAGCACATATGCTAAGGAAAGACTTGGTCTAAAAAGATAAGTCACCGAAAACAATGAGATTGGCCTGTTTACATCAGAAATAGCGACAAAGCTAAAAAGAAAGTTCAGTTAATAAGAGTTGAATAACCTATGAGATACAAAGCAGAACTAACCTATAACTTTCTAACATCAGTACAATTCTCTGTGTATGAGAAGCCAGGAAGTAATATACTTGGATTGTTTTAGCGATGATTTATGTGTTGCAGTTTTAATTTATGTATTTAAAGCATGTCTTGCTATGATTGTCCTTAGAGAAATCTCTCAAGAAAACGTGTTCTGTGTTTAGGTAGTAGTTAGTGGCTCTGAAAGTAAAAACTGGGAATGTTTACTGTGAGATCTGTTGCAGAATCTCCATTTTTTGGGGTGCTGTATAGTTTCATGTCAACCTAAAATTGTAAATTACCTGTAGATCTTCACCCCATTCAAAGCAGGTGCCATTATTTTTTTAAATAAACACTTGATATTAGCTTTGATGTTAAATAAAAAGCTAGATTTGTTAAATTTTCACATTCATCAGAGCCGATATCCATAGCAGACTTTGTGTGTGTGTGTGTGTGTGTATGTGTGTGTGTACTCAGTTTTGTAATAGACTTTATATTTTAGAGCAGTTTCAGCTTCACAGCGGACTTGATGGGAAGATACAGAGATTTCCTGTAGACCCCTGTCCCCACACATGCCCAGCCTCCTCTACTATCAACAACCCTCTCAGAGAGTATATTATAATCAATGTACCTGCATTAACACTTCATTATCAACCAAAGTCTATAGTTTACATTAGGGTCCACTCTTGTACACTCTGTGACTTTGGATAAACGTATAATGACATTATCCACCATATGGTATCATACAGAATAGTTTCACACCTAAAAATCGGCTCTGCTCTGCCTATTCATCCCTTCCTCCCCATCAACTTTTAAACTAATTTCATGTCTATTTCATAAAAAGTGGTCGGCGTGTGTGTGATGTGTAGCCCATTCCTCAAGCCCTAGTGGGGAAGGAGTTACTTTCTAACAGGTGTGACCATGAGATGTAGAAATTTACTGGACCCAGAAGGACCGTGGTGACCAAACAGCACCTTTCTGGGCTCCCACAGATGTGGATGACAGCTACCATTCTTTGAGCATTTACTATATACGATGCTTTGTGCCATATGCTTTGCATGCAATATCCAATGTAATTGTCCCAACACTCAGTAAGACAGGCACTATTATCCTACTTAACACAGGAGGAGGCCGAGGTTAGATAACCAGCAGAACTGTGTAGCGATAATGGTGGAGCTGTTTATTCAGTCCCAGCTGGTGTGATGAGCCTACGGGGCAACCACTGCCCTGCGCTGTAACAGGCAGGACTGAGCAACTGGCTTTTAGTCACCCTGTCATTCTCCGCCCCTGCGAGGTAAACGACTACTGGAAGCCTGGAAGAGGTCACTTATTTACTTTTGCAATTACAGTTCTGCTGGCTAATTCAATATATTAGTTTCAATATATTATTAGTTCAATATTATATTAGTTTCAGGCGTACAGCATAGTGATTAGACATTTATATAACTTACAAAGTGGTTCTCCCTGTAAGTCTAGTACCTCTGACACCATATACAATTATTAGAATATCATTGACTATATTCCCTATGCTATACTTTACATCCACGTGACTGTTTTGTAACTACCAATTTGTGCTTAATCCATTCACCTTTTTCGCCCTGTCCCCCCAAACCCTTAGAAGGGGTCAATTGTCCTCCACCCCCCCAGAAGGAGTCACTTTTAACCCTGGGACCAGAGCAGTCAATACTGTCATTGCAAATTATGCCTTCACACCTTTGCACCTCTGGCATACTGTGATCAGGACAGTTACCTGAAGCTGACCTCCTAGATCTTTGAAGAGACTAGGAAAGCTGTTAATTAAAGAAACTTTTATACCCTCCCTGGCTTCCTGAGCTTCCTGGGGTGTCTGATCTGCAGTTGGCTTGGCTGAGTGTTTGCTTGTTTGCTTAGCTCTGGGATGGTGAAGTCCCTGGTGGCTTCTGCTCTGTGCTCCACGACATCTGCTACCATCTGTGGTGGCTACCTCAGAAATTTTTCTCCTTGCTACACCAGCCAGAATTTATCCCCTGCCAGGACTTTAACTTGACGAAAGCCGTTGTTAACAAACCAAGCATCAGCCATCTTAACATGTTAACAGCTGTTTTGTTGGTGGTTACTCTACTGTGGCTCGTGCATTGGGAATTGGATTTTTTTTTTCCTGCTCTTAAAAATAAGCTACTGAGTACAGGCATACCTTGGAAGTACTGTGGGTTCGGTTCCAGACCACCGCAATAAAGTGAGTATCGCAGTAAAGCCAGTTGTAATCTTTTTGCTGCTGGAGGGTCTTGCCTTCAATTTGTAAAAAAACACCACATCTGTGAAGCACAGTAAAGCAAAGCACAATAAAACGAGGCATGCCTGTAGTAGAAAGAAAATCATGCCTTGGTCTGTACTAACAATTAAGGGACTCCATCTGCCAAAGAAACTCTCAGAGGCCTGGATTCTTCTTGTATTCTTGGACTGCCCACATCACGAGCAGTGATGCTGATAAGGCCTACCCCTGGGTGTTTCCTCCCCAAAGTGGATTTGACAACTATTCCCTCATCCTGCTCAGCCCAGTGATTTGAAGCCCAGGCTCTGTAGCTGTAGGAGACAGAGGACTATAAGACAGACCCCCCCCCAAATTTAGGCCACAGGCAGGATATATACTCCCCCACACACAGTGGCTAAAGCTAACAGGGACCCAAACAAAAGCCTGGACTCACAGAGTGGTCTTCCCTAGGCTCTGTGGTCAGAACTGTTGCCAGGTGACTTCCCACTATGCTTAGGTTTTCCCCTGGTTGGGAGCAGCGGGAGCGTGGGCAGCAGCGCATCTTTGGTCCTCCTGGAGGCAGGGACCCTGACTGGCAGTGACTCCTCCGGGCATCCAGGTCACAAAGCCGGTCATGGTCTCCCTGAGGGTACTCGACTCCCCTAGCCAAGCTGGGGGTGTTGGTCTGGCTTCCTCAGTGGACCTGTCCTACCGGGGACAGAGTAGCAATCCAGCTGGTCAGAGCATTTCAGCTCCTTGGCAGCTATTTACATTTCAATGTAAATCAGTATATTTGCTTTTTTTGGTCAAGGGTGTTCTTATCAGAGTTTGGTGAGCATAAATCAATTTCAC